GGGGGGGGTGTGGTTCTAAAGCATTTTGAGCCAAGGCTGGGTCAGCCCCCTCCCACAAACCCCAGGCAGTGAAAGATTCTGGCTCTTTATTTTTCCCTCTGAGTTTTGATTTTCCCCCATTCTGTGGATCCTGAATTCAAACCCCAACTTGGTGGGAATTTTCTAATGGAATCAGCTGGTCTGGGGGTTGGGGCTTTTCATTGTCGGTGTTGTACAACACTCACCTGGCCAAGCTGGTGTCTGTCATAGTGGGTATCAACATCTGTCCCAGTGTGTAAACCTCTACATAAAGAATACACAGGAGATTTGTCCTTTGACAATTGACTTAAGACATTTTTCCAACTGTTAGTCATTGGTCTTGCCCAGTAATCACACAGACATGGTAATTGTTGTTCCAGTTGAATGCAAAACAAAGGCTCGAAACATCAGCCTTCCTGCTCCTATGATGCTGCTTGGCCTGCTGTGTTCATCCAGCTCTACACCTTGTTATCTCAGATTCTCCAGCATCTGCAGTTCCTACTATCTCTATATTCCCCGTGGTTCTGTTTTTCTATATTCGTGTTTACCTTGAAATTCCCATGGAAGCTTCAGTTTACTGTAACGTATTTTGCCCCAAAGCCCTACTCATTGTTGTATTGCTTATTTTGGACTCTATACATCTTTCTTTGAATGATACAAGAGATTAAGAAAGGGGATCAAAGTGTGATGTCTTCCTGGTTATCCCTTGATTGCTGTGAACTCGCTTTTCCCCATGTTAGCGCCTAATACAAGGACTACAAACCCATTTTATATCAGGAAAACCACATGGTGGATAATAGCAGGAGCCATCCATACCCTCTTGAGTCTGCGATGATGCCCAACATTACAGATCTTCGGTTCCAACTCCATTTTTCTTCACCCATCCCGAAACATCTGAGTGTCCTTACTGTCCAAAACTCCAACAGCCTTGAACAAAATCAGTGGCTAAGTATTCACAGTTTGCAGGGAGGAGAATTCCAAGGATTCACAAGCTTCTGAATGAAAACGTACCTGCACACCTCAGTCTTCAATGACCAACTCTTCAAGAAATTCTACAGCTCAGAAAAGTACCATTCAGCCCATCGAGTCCATACTGGTCAAAAAAACAAGCACCTAACTATTCTAAGATAACACAGTGTGGAGCTGGATGAACACAGCAGGCCAGGCAGCATCAGAGGAGTAGGAAAGCTAACGTTTCAGGTCGGGACCCTTCTTCAGAAAACGTCAGCTTTCCTACTCCTCTGATGCTGCCTGGCCTGCTGTGTTTCTCCAACTCCACACCTTGTTATCTCTGACTCCAGCATCGGCAGTTCTTACTATACCTAACGATCTAATCCCATTTTCCAGCACTTTGCCTATAGCCTTGCATGCCTTAGTATCACAAGTGCACACCTAAATGCTTCTAGATTTACCTCTGGATTCTGCAGCCAGGTGATAAAGATGTAAACATTTTGCGCAATGTTTGGCAGCAGATCTTTGCAAACTACTTGCAAAGCTGACCCATTACAAGATGTGCACTGTTGCAGAGATCATTACCATTCCTTTTTAATTCTATCTTGTGCTCCCCCAGGTTTCTGCAGCTTATATGGGCAGGGTGAGCCTGTCAGCAGCTGGATTCTACAGGTAATGTCTGTGTCTATTGTGATTCCTTTTGGTTTATAGTTAGAGCAGTCCCTGAATTAAATAGATACGTAAAAATGAGCTGATACATGGCAGGTGAAATGAAATACAGAGTGTTGTGAATGCTGCATTAGATACAATGAGGACAATATGAACAGACTGGTGCATTTTCAAAGGGATTGCAGGAAGAGAGAGACTTTGGGGCTGACTATACACAAACTGTTAGTAGGAAAAATTGGGAGCAGGTATTAACTATACAAAAAGGTCCTCAGCTTCATCAACAGAAGCACAGAAGACAATTACTCAAAGCCAGGGGTGTTGTCCCAAGGAAGGGATGCAATATTGGGCAATAGATTTCCAGAGGAGTGTCAAGCTCATGGAGAGAGAAGATCTACGGAAAAAGTGAAAAGGAGTTTCTGTTAGGTGGAGAGACCCGCAAAGTCGGGATTGTACCCTTCAAACAGAGAAAGTTACAGAGAGATTTAATGTGTTCAAAAAAAGTCCAGCGTTTTGTGAGAGTGAATAGAGAGAAATTGTTTCCAATGGCAGAAGGGCCAATAAACAGAGGGCGTACATTTAGTGCATTAGGCAATTTTTCTAACTTGGTGAACTGCTTTGATCTGGACTGAGAGGATGCTGGGAGCAGCAACATCATTCAGAGCTAAATTCCAAAAGCATGCAGGATTAAGAGGAAAGAACAGGGCTAAGGCTGTTACCTTTAGCGAGACAAGAACTAGAACAGACACAAGGTGGGGCTATGTCACTCTGTGAAGTCTCTGGTGTTTGATCCCACTACAGAATTGTGCCGTTAAGGTTCATTTTATTTTTATTCACTCCCGGGATGCGGGTGTTGCTGGCTGGGCCAGCATTTATTTCTCCTTCCTCCAGAGAAGGTGGTGGCAAGCTGCCTTCTTGAACTGCTGCAGTTAATCTGCTTGGGTTGACCCACAATGCACTGGGGGAGAGGCGGGGTGGCGTTCCAGGATTTTGACCCAGTGACAGTGAAGGAACAGCGGTATATTTCCAAGTCAGGATGGTGAGTGGCTTGAAGGGGAACTTGGAGGTGGTGGTGTTCCCATATATCTGCTGCCCTTGTCCTTCTAGATAGAAGCGGTCGTGGGTTTGGAAGGGGCCGTCAGAGGATCTTTGGTGAATTTCTGCAGCACATCTAGTAGATAGTACATGCAGCTGCTGCTGAGCAACACTGAAAGTAATTTATAGAAACTATTCAGTGAGTAGTAACCCTGCCACTGAGCTAGAAGCTCTGGGTTCAAACCCAGTCCACCCCACCAGGACAGGATCATAATGTGGCCAAACAGGTTGAGTATTGATGCATTTACCTTTCAACATGCCAAGGCAAATGGCGAGAGAGAGATTCCTGTTCTGCCACATGATGGAAAAAGTGTTGGAACATCTATAATGAGTAGTTCTGTACTACAAAATGAAACAAAATAGCATGCTACAATGGCAAAGTGGAGTCCTGGCGCCGACTCTAACAACAATACGTCACACACATATGTCAAACTATTCATAAATTGACATGAGAAATTTCCTACCATGAGTCTCCCTTCTCCGATCAATGGCCTTCTCTTTAAGCTATGTCTTTTCATTTTCTCCTATTCCTAGAATATCAAAATGTCACTGGGTTATGGCAACAAATGAAAGCATTGTACTGTTCTTTATTGTATCTCGCTGTCAAATGCAAATGACAATTGTTCATTCATTCATTCAATATGTTCCTGTATCATTTCTAACCTGATACACATCAGCTTAGATTGGGCGCAACTTTTTAATGCATACTGGGAAAGTGGGTCACTGGTGCCTACCCATAGTTGTCCTTGAGAATTTTCATCCAGTTCCCATGTAACAATGTATTTCCAAATTGGGATGGTTTGTGGCTTCAAAGAGAGCATGCCAGTAATGGTGATCCCACGCATCTGCTGTCCTTACCTACTAAATGGTAAAAGTTATGGGTTTGATAAGTTATAGAGTCATGGAGTTATGCAGAACAGAAACAGACCCTTTGGTCCAACTCCTCTGTGCCGACCAGAATCCTAATCTGACCTAGTCCTATTTGCCAGCATTTGGCCCATATCCCTCTAAACCCTTCCTAATCATGTACCCATCCAGATACCTTTTAAATGTTGTAATCGTACCAGCCTCCATCACTTCCTCTGGCAGTTCATTCTATACACGCACCACCCTCTGCGTGAAAAAGTTGCCCCTCTGGTCCCTTTTAAATCTTTCCCCTCTCACCTTAAACCTATGACCTCTAGTTTTGGACTCCCCTACCCTGGGAAAAAGACCTTAGCTATTCACCCTATCCATACCCCTCATGATTTTGTAAACCTCTATGGGTCACCCCTCAGACTCCATAGAGTCCCTACAGTGTGGAAACAGGCCATTCAGCCCAACAAGTCCATACTAACTCTGTAAAGAGCATCACACCTAGACTCCTCCCCCCACCCCCTTTACCCTGTAGTCCTGCATTTCCCACGGCTAATCCACCTAACTTACACGTCCCTGGACACTATAGGCAATTTATCATGGCCAATTCACCTAAACTGCGTTCTGCCACTCCAGGAAGAAAAGCCCCAGGCCGTTCAGCCTCTCCCTATAGCTCAAACCCTCCAGTCCTGGCAACATCCTCGTAAATCTTTTCTGCACCCTGTCAAGTTTAGCAACATCCTTCCTACGGCAGGGCCAAGCATCTTATAGATATTACACAATTCTGCCACTGTGGTGAAGGGAGTGAGTGCTGAAGGCAAGGGGATGGATTGTCAAATAAAGCGGGCTGCTTTGTCCTGGATGGTGTCAAGCTTCTTGAGTGTTGTTGGGGCTGCACCCATCCAGGCAAGTGGGGAGTATTCCATCACACTCCTGACTTGTGCCTTGGAGATGGTGGATAGGAGCTGGGGAATCAGGAGGTGAGTTACTCTCCGCAGTATTCCCAGCTTCTGATTGATGGTGTGACGGGAAGGAACGTCTTAACAAAGTGCTCTTTCCGTTTTGCCACAAGTGGGAATGTTGCGAAGGGTTATAATTTGAGAAAGTATTGACTCATTTTGCTGTTCCACGTACAGGACTCCGGATCTGAACTATGACTGGGATAAGAACGAAGGAAGGGCTTACAATTATTATAGTTATGGTGTGGCTTGTTCGGAGGTTGAAATTGACTGTCTCACTGGAGACCACAAGGTGAGCATCCAACAACAACAACTTGCATTCACGTAGCATCCCTCGTGCCCAACATGTTTCACAGGGACAGAATCAAACAAGATATGTCAGCAGGCCACTGAAAATGTTGCTCAGATAGGTAGGAGAGTCTAAAGAGATTCTGAGTACATTAGGGGCAAAAGAATAACTAGGGAGAGAATAGAGCCCCTTAAAGATCAAAGTGGCCATCTATGTGTGGAACGAAAGGAAATGGGTATGGTCGTAAGCGAATATTTCATGGCAGTAATTACTATCAAGAAGGACATAGAAGCGAGGGAATTTAGGAAAATAAATAGTGATGTCTTGAAAAGAGTTCACATTGCAGAAGAGGAGGTGCTGGAGGTCTTAAAATGCATTAAGGTAGATAAATCCCCAAGACCTGATCAGGTGTTTCCCAGAACTTTGGGGGAAGCTAGGGAAGAGATTACCCGCTGCTGGGATATTTGAATCATCGACAGCCACGGGTGAGGTTCTGGAAGACTGGAGAATGGCTAACGTGGTGCCATTATTGAAGAAAGGTTGTAAGGAAAAGCCAGGGAACTATAGACTGGTGAGCCTTATGTCAGCGATGGGTAAGTTGTTGGAGAGGATTCTGAGGGACAGGATTTACATGCATTTGGAAAAGCAAGGACTAATTAGGGATAGTCAACATGGCTTTATGCGTGGACAATTGTGTCTCACTAACTTGATGGAGATTTTTGAAGAGGTAAGGAAGAAGATTGATCAAGGCAGAGCAGTAGACATTGTCTATATGGACTTCAGCAAAGTGTTCAACAAGGTTCCACATGGTAGACTGGTTAATAGGGTAAGATCACATGGGATCCAGGGGGATCTAGCCCATTAGATGCAATTTTGGCTTGAAGGTAAGAGACAGATGGTGCTGGTAGAGAGTTGCTTTTTAGACTGGAGGTCTTTTCAGACCATCGGTGTGCCACAAGATTGGTGTTGGGTCCACTACTTTTCATCATTTATACAAATGGTTTGGATGTGAAGATAAGAGATATGGTTAGTAAGTTTGTAGATGACACCAAAATAAGTGGTGTAGTGGACAATGAAGATTATCTCAGAGTACAATGGGTCTTTGATCAGATGGGCCAATGGGCCAAGGGGTGGCAGATTGAGTTTAATTTCGATAAATGTGATGTGGTACATTTTGGAAAAGCAAATCAGAGCAGGACATATATAGTTAATGACAGGGCCCTGGAAAGTTTTGACGAACAAACAGACCTAGAGTTGCAGGTGCATAGTTCCTTGAAAGTGGAGTCTCAGGTAGCCAGGCTGGTAAAGAAGGCATTTGGCATACTTGCATTCATTAGTCAGAACATTGAAAATAGGAGTTGAGAGGTCATGTTGCCGCTGTACAGGACATTGGTGAAGCCACTTCTGGAATACTCCATTCAATTCTGGTCACCCTTCTATAGGAAGGACGTTGTTAAACTTGAGAGGGTGCAGAACAGATTTACAAGTATGTTGCCGGGGTTGGAGGATTTGACCTTTAGGGAAAGGCTGAATAGGCTGGGGCTATTTTTCCTGAAATATCAGAGGCTGAGGGATGACTTTATAGAGGTTTATAAAATCATGAGGGGCACAGATAAGGTGAATAACCAAGGTCCTTTTCCTAGTGTAGGATAATCCAAAACTAGGGAGCATAAGGTGAGAGGGGAAAGATTTAAAAAGGACTTAAGGGGTAACTTTCTTACACAGAGGGTTTGCCTGTATGGAATGAGCTGCTAGAGGAAGTGGTTGAAGCTAGTACAATTACAACATTTAAAAGGCATCTAGATGGGTACATGAATAGGAAGGGTTTAGAGGGATATGGGCTAAAAGTTGACAAATGGGACTAGGTCAGATTGGGATGCCTGTGCTGTATAACTCTATGACTCTATGAGTATAAGAAAAGAGATGTGAAGAGGTTTAGGAAGGCAAGGCCATCAATGGTAGATAAATTAAAATTGGGGTTGCACAAAAGTTTAGAATTGCAGCGGAATGGATAACCTGGTGAACTATGGGCATGGGCATGAAAGAGACGACCAGGGTCATGGAGGGATTTGAAAACAAGGATGAGAATTTTTAACTCAAGGTGTTGCTTGACCAGAAATCAATAGACGTCAGCGAGGACAAGGGTGAGGGGCAAATGTGAGTTCACAGAATTTTGGAAAAGCTCAAGAGTGTAGAAAATGGGAAATAGGCATGTTGGAGAAAGACACAAAAATGTGCATTTATGTAGCACCACCAGAAAAAGCTCCATTGGTCTTCTTCAGAATAGTACCATGAGACCTTTCAAATTCATTTAAGAGAGAAGGAGGGGGGTGGGAATTGGCTACACTTTAACAATTCATTGAAAGAGTGTCCCTCTGACAATACTGCACTCCTTCAATATGATGCAGAAGCATCTGCTGAGATATTATGCTCAGTTCTCTGGAACAGAACCTACTACGTTCCTGACTCACAGGCAAGTTTCCTACCCACTGAGCCTCAGCTGACACCTGATCATAAATGTTGTTAACATTAAAACAACATTATTAAGTAACAGAGATAGCAAGAACTGCAGATGCTGGAGTCAGAGGCAACACAGTATGGAGCTGGAGGAACACAGCAGGTCAGGCAGCATCAGAGGAGCAGGAAAGTCAACGTTTCGGGTCGGGACCCTTCTTCAGAACTTGGGGGTGGCACAGTGGCTCAGTGGTTAGCACAATTGCCTCACAGCACCAGGGACCCGGCTTCAGTTCCACCCTCGGGCAACTGCCTATGTGGAGTTTGCACATTCTCCCCGCGCCTGTGTGGGTTTCCTCCAGGTGCTCCGGTTTCCTCCCACAGTCCAAAGATGTGCAGGTTAGGTGGATTGGCCATGCTAAATTTCTCATAGTGTCTAGGATGGGAAATGCAGGGATAGGGTAAGGGGTGGGTCTGGGTGGGATGCTCTTCAGAGGATCAGTGTGGACTGAATTGGTTGAATGGCCTGCTTTCACACTGTAGGGATTCTACGATGAAAGTTTTGTTTTACGTAAGTAAACAACTCTTCACCTGGTGCAGGGCGCAGTGTGGGGGACTGGGTTATTCAGACAGAGGCTCCGCGCTTCTCAAAATGATTTGTTCCCTGAAGCAGTGTTCATGAATTTTGTGACTGACACCAGGTACTGTTCCTTTCACTGTGAGTGAGATTAACTTCAGTCTGTAGCAAATCTCTGTGCAGGTTCCCGTCAGAGGTATCCCATAAGGGCTAAAAGGTCAGTGTCACCTATCGAAGTCTTTACTGCTAAATGTCTTTGATTTCAGAACCTGCGCACTGACATTGTCATGGACGTGGGGAGGAGCCTCAATCCAGCTGTGGACATTGGTCAGGTGAGGCACTGTCACAAAACTTGAGGAGTGTTATCCCCGGGGGCTGTGACGGGGGGCAATGGGGACAGAGAGAAAAAACAAAAACGACTGCCTTGCATTGCGATAGCACCTGTCGTGAGTTCGGGAGGTTCCAGATCACTTCACAGCTGATGAAGAACATTCTGGTTCTTTACTCAGAGAGTAGTAAGGGCGTGGAATGCCCTGCCTGCAAAAGTAGTAGACTCGCCCACTTTGAGGGCAGTTAAATGGTCATTGGATAAACATATGGATGATAACGGAATAGTTTAGGTTAGATGGGCTTCAGATTGGTTTCACAGGTTGGCGCAACATCGAGGGCCGAAGGGCCTGTACTGCGCTGTAATGTTCTATGTTCTATGCGTGAAGGTAGAATTCAGAACAGCCAATATGCACACAATAACCTCTCACAGAGAGCCATGTGCTAACAACCAGATAACAGCGTACGGCAGGTTAAGTGAACAATAGCTCCCCCCCCAACTATTAATGGTGGTGTCACGGTAATGTCATTGGATTAAAATCCAAGAGGTTTGGTTCAGTGATCTCACAACATCAATTCCATCCCCATCCCGGGTGGGGTTTATATCCAATTCAGTCCGTAAATCTGGAATCAAAAGCATGTCTCTATGTTGAACGTGATTGAGTCACAAGGAGGAAAATCTGCTACCCTTACCCAGTCTGGACTACATATGAGTGTAGACTCTCAATGGTGCGGTTGATTCTTAACTGTTTTCCGAAAAATGCCAAGCAAGACATTCCATTCAAGGGCAATTAAGGCAAACAACTCTGGTTTTCCAGCAATGTCTGTATCTGAAAACGAAAGAATAAAAAGAGAACAGTATCCATCATAGAAAGCAAAGTGTCTACTGTATGGCCCAAAAGGCTATATGGTGTCAGCGTTTGCAGAGAAACTGGTTTTGAATCTCCCTCTCTCTATTTGATCAGGTGGAAGGAGGTTTCATGCAGGGTCTTGGGTATTTTACCCTGGAGGAACTGCGCTACTCTCCAGGGGGTGTCCTGTACACCCGGGGACCAGGAACATACAAGATCCCATCAGCTGGCGATATCCCAACGCAGCTCAATGTATCCCTCCTACGGGAATCTCCGAATAGAAAAGCCATCTATTCTTCCAAGGTAACTCCCACTTCTTTCCTTGTTTAACCAGTAGAGGGAAGGGGGTATTTGCTCCAAACAGCCTATGTGTAAGCTGAAATGGATTGTCTTCCTAAACTGAAATCACACGACACCAGTTTATAG